TCGAGTTGCTTTTAAGTGATGACTTGAACATTAATATGTTCGACTTCGAATATCAAAATGCAAGACCACAAGCGTTCTCGAACATTGAAGTTCTAGTGCACAAATGTGCTTAAACATTAAAAAAACTTGAATAAAAGTGTACTCAAATATCTAAGTGGTCGAGCAAGCACAAATGCATCAAAATACGCTAGCACAAGTGTATTTGAACATCAAAATGCTCAGAATTTAAATAGCCCGCATATTGTCTTATGCACTATTTTTATTGTGTTAAACTTGCAAAATTTATGATACATTTTTTTATTTATGATTAATAGTAGTATATCTATCAAGCAAGATATTGAAGTGGATATTATAGATTTTGCTTTTTTAAAATAAGATTAAAAATAAAGGTAAAAAGGGAATAAAAGCGAAAATAAATTATAATATATCTTAAAGTAACTCCCTTCTTCTCTTAATGCAGTCAAAAACAATATATAATATAATTTTAACAAATAAATTTTTGTAACAGTTTATAAGTTAATATTTTCCTATGTGTTTTATGAGATGACATTATATATTATAACGCTTGTTACATTAACGCGTTTGTGTTTGTTACTCAAAAACTGTTAGGTACATTAACGTTTTAAATATTGTTTTATATATAACTTAATGCTAATACATCTGTATCAAATAGCTGACACCTATTAAGTATATTTTTTGTAACTATAAAGACACAAAAAATTATAACTTAATAAATATTTAATGCATTTGCTATTTAAATTTAATTATCTTATTATAATATGTACTTATTACTAAATGAACTTAAAACTGTTTCTCACGTTTCTTACTTACTATATTAATTCTATTTAATCTTTTTATTATTAAGCATTTCATTAAACTACATTTCTGTTATAGTTCAATTTATTTATGCATAAGTTTTTACATTTCAAATATACTATCATACTATACTTATTTATGTATTTAATATATGATATTATGTATATGTACACGAAAAATATGCTCTTAGTGCTGCCCAAAACATATGCAACTAATAGCTATACAAAATTTTAGCGCTGTGCTGCTATATATCTGAATGATAATTCACCATTCCATAAAGACAATTTTTTTTGCAATACAAAAAATTAAATTTAATTATATATATAAAAAGATTAGCACAAATTCAATAATATTTATTACATATGTTTTGAGAAAAATAATTATAATTTTATTATTTTTATTAAAAATATAATTCTATTGGTACATTCTGAAAGGTATTTTAATAAAAAATAATGAAGAATTCATGTATTGGATTCATTGGTTTTTGCAATTTTTTTTTATATTTTATGGCACATAAAAAACTGTTTTCATTCGAATAATATGATTGAATTAATAATTCGTTCATTTTAACTATTTGGACGTATGTTTTGTGGTATGTATGTTTACGTATTGGCAAAAATTTTAATTTTTTTTGTGTAAACGTTTAACAAAATGATGTATGCAAACAAAAATATATATTTAAATTAATAGAATATGTTCAATTTAAATTTTGTGCATCGGAATACAAAAAAGGAAAAACATTAATTTTTAAATAAAATTCCAAATTAAATGCATTTAAATAAAAAAAAATATTTTTGGCATTTCTTAAACTTAAGAAAAACATATTTTTATTTATACATATATAAGTTTTATAAATATGTATATATATAAATTTATTATATATATAAACATATATATAAATAGATCATTTTAATATTTTAAATCATGAAACCTTTTAACTGAGAATATTAGAAGAAATGCATCTGTGTTATTTTTAGTTTTGTTTCGTATTATGTATTTTGTTTCCTTTTTTCTTAATGTGTTTACGTACACTAACAATAATTGAACGAAATTATAAGTTGAATAAGCATTTTCCAAAAAAATTTCTGTATTATAGAGAAATTTTAATTAAAATAGTTAATATATAAAATAGTTAATGTACATCGTCGTCATCGTCATAATTTCAAATGAAAATTTATCAAATTTTGCGTTTTTACTAATAGTTTTGTTATTTTCAATTTGCTCTACCATATATTTAAATTTCATTATTACAGCATACATTTTTGTACACTAATTTTTTAAATTTATTTGAATGAAAAAATACTTAGAACTTGTGGTTATTATTCTACATTTGCAACCAGTAGCATTTTTCATATTTTTTCATGTTTTATATAATATTTTTAGTGTACTTCTTGTAATTTTTCATGTATGTACTTTTACCCTACCTATCTATCCTAGCTATAAACTGAATATTTCATTTAACCTAAGATATTTTTATATATTAATACAGTATATAATATTATGATATATTTATGTATATATATATAGAGACATATACATATTAATTAATCTTTTTACATAAGTTTATGATATAAGTTTATGCATGTGTCAGTCACATAAGTTATTATAATTTATGACAGCTCACAAATATACGCACATATATACACTTGATTTATAAACATAAATAATTTTATATGTATAGATGCCTGCGCACGTAAAGAAACATTTCAAATATAAGTTTATAACATTTACATTTTTTTATAATATTATTTGATTATTTTTATAACACACCATTGCGTTGCGTTTTTTTTTTTGTCTATTCACAAACGATGAATTTAAAATTAATAGTTTCCTTACATATTTGACTGGTCCTTGTATAATACAACTTAAGCGTGCATACAAAATCGATATCTAAAAATGAAACAAAATATTAAATATTATTAAAATATTATTAATATTAAACTTATTTATATATAAATAAATATATATAAATATATATGTAAGAAAACAAAAAATATATATAAATATAAATATATATACTTAAAACTATATATAAATATATATAAATACAAATATATATACTTATAAAATATATATAACTATACACGAATAAATATAAATATAAACACATAAATATAAGTATAATATAATGAAAATAAAAATATATATCAATAAATATAAATATATAAATATAATTTAGAACTAAAAATTAATATAAATAAATATAAATAAATATAAATAAATATAAATAAATATAAATAAATATAAATAAATATAAACAAATGAAAAATACATGTAAATAAAATTATAGAAACTGAAAATATATATAACAAAATAAAAAGAAACTTAAAAATACATATTTAAAAATAATCTTAAAATAAATACCTAAAAAAATATATAAATAGAAAATCAATAAATATAATTAATAATAACACAAAATTTTTAATAAAACGTGATATAATAAAAAATATACAAATAAACAAAAATACACACAAGAAACTGAATATATAATTTAATAAAATACATGTAATTGAAAAAAATGTAATTAAAACAAAATATTTAATTAAAAAAAATATACAATTTAAAAATAAAATTTGTAATTAAAAAAACGTAATTTTAAAAGAATATGTGATTTATAAAAAATATTTAAATATTTTAAATATTACAATTTTAACTTTTGAAGAAAAATGTGTAATTTAAAAAATTGTAATTTTAAAAAATATGGACTTTAAAAATATATTTAAAAACCGAAAGAATAGATAGCAATATACTCGTAACAATCTTGAGTAACAAATATTAAATAATTATAACTAAACATTATAAACAAATATGATAAATTTGAAGTACTTTAAAGACAAATAAATAAAAGTATAAAAAGAATTACAGCAATATGCAATAATATTCAATAAATAGATAAACAAAAATAATATATGTATATTTATGAATAACGTAAATTAAAAATAAATACATCCATACAAAATATAAAAAATAGCATAAAGAAATATTTTACTTACATTTTTTTCTATTTTGTTGCCGCAATCACATCCAATTTTTTTCCCGTTTAGTTAAAATAGTTAAATTCTCTAGTTTAAGCAACATTATAATATATACAGATGCATATATATTTATTACAATATATATATTAACGAGTATATAAGCAATAGTTTAGTTTAATATTCGTAAATTAAGGTATGTCCAGCAATTTTTCATCATATTGTGTCGTAAGTAATAGCATTAGTAGTTGTTTTTTGTTAGTTTAAATTTAAGCTCACTTCTCTAGTGCAAAGAAACCCTTACGTCGTAACGCAATCATCAATAACTACAATTTGTTTTTTTTTTTTTTGCCAAAAATACTTCTTATAAGTTTTTCGTATGTACTATATAAATTTTATAGTTTTTTAGTTTTAGCAGTCAAGTTTCTAATCTGATAATTTGCTTATGTTGCATCATTAAAGTTTTTTCAATCGGATACATTTTGTAGAACACGTTTTAATTTTTTTTTCTCATATATATGCCATATTTTTGGTTATATCTATTTGCAATTTTAATATATGTATAAATATGTAAGATATTAAATATATAATATTATATATATAAATAATACATTACTTACATTTATATTATATTGTATAAAATACAATATTAATGTACATTGCACTAAATATCATATTAACTAAATATTAGCGATATTAAAATATATATACTTATATGTATATATTTACGTATATACATATATATGTTATACATATATGCGTTATATTGAATATAATTCGAGAATATTTAGTAAATATATTTAATGCAGCTTAAACACATATTGCACTCTATAAACATATATATAAACATGTATACAAACATATATATAAATATATATAAAATATTAATTACTATAAATGTTACGTATTTTATTAATAATATATATGTATTATATAAATTATGATTATGTTTAGTTTGTCATATAACTTTTACGTTATACTTTATTATTTATTTTTAATTGTTATTTTATTACATACGTTATAATGATACGTTATGATATATATTAACATATTTTATACTTATATAATTTATTATATATATTATAATCTGTATAAAATAATTTTATCATATACATCACCTAATAATGTATATTATTTTTATCATAATATATACTATTACTTTATATGTATTATATATTATATTTTTAATATATTAAAATCAAATTTACGTCACATTTTTAAATTGTTATATATTATTTTGGCATATATATATATACGTAAGAATTTATGTGCATTCTTAACTATTTTAATCATTTTTGGGTTCATGTAAATTCTTTATGCTATCATACATCCTAATTATTACGTCCAGCCTTACGACTAAACGAATTGGCAGCGCTACTATTACTATCGCCAGTATCAACTCTGTCACGTACATTTTTGTCTTTAGCATCGGAACGGTTACGACTAACATTTACTGTAGCTGTCGTTATTGAACTACTGCTACTACTATTAGCACTATTATTACTACCAGTGCTTTGTCTATTTTCACGAGAAGCATCTACAAAAACAAAAAAAAATTATAAATTAAATATATATGTATATTACAATTATATTTTGTTTTGTTCAGTACTTACCTTTATCTTTTGTATTTTCACCTCGCATTACTACGTTTCCAATTGTATTCACAGCACCAATATTGCTATTGTTATTGTTTCCGGCTAAAGCACCAGTAGGGACAAAAGTTTGATTTGTAGCATTTGAATTATTTCTTTTTTCCACCATTACATTTGTACTAGCAGCAGACTTTTCGTTAGTTTTCTCACCAATTGTTGCAGTCATTTCGATTTTAGCAGTTGTTGCTGTTGGGGTCGTAGTGGTTACCACAGCTGGTCCAGTTACAATCTCATTTTTGTTAATGGCAATTGGTGATAAAGTTCCAGCAGTATCTCTATTACCATCAGTTCGTTGTGCAACCTGCGCATAACTTAAACGCGCACTATTTGCAGCAGCCACAGCTGCTGCAATATTTTCAATTGATGACGATGAAGTGGATGTCGAGGCATTTTTTTGTTTAGTAGCATCTTTTGGCGTATCTTTTTTGGCGAGTAAAGCAGCAATGGCGGGTGGCTTTTTATGATTGCTTAAGCTACAATCTGCTAAATTTGTAGTCATAGTGGAAACGTTGCAGGTAACAGCAAGTATGTTCGGCGATGAGGTAGCTGGTGTAGCAATCGATATTTTCGCGCTGCTATTATTATTATTATTTACATTACTGTTGCTAGACCTTTCGTTGCTATTATCGCTAATTGATTGCTGTTTATTAATAGCTTCTGTAGTAAATGATTCCTCAGTCTTGTTAATTGTTTTATCGTGGTTGATGTTAGTGTTGCTATTACTAATCTCAGTAGCATGCATTGCTAATATATTGCTGTTACTACTGTTCGTATTATTATTTATATTTTTATTATTTTGTGTTATACACTTTATCACAGATGAGGAGTTATTTTGTTTATTTGTCATTGATTTATTATTGGACTTGGTCAATGCTGCAGTTGTGACTGTTGATGAGACTTCCTCAACAGTAACCGTATCAGCGGCAGATATCATTGGTGGACTTATTGCACTTGACCGCTGTTGTTGTTGTTGTTGACTTTGCTGATGATAATGCTTGTTATGAGTAGATTCTTTTCGCGATTTATTGCCTTTGCTATTTGTATTTCCACCGCTACCTCGAACCACATCAGACAATCTATTTTCTGTCCAATTGCTATTGGAACCGGAGGAACCATTTCCGCCACTACCACTACCTGAGTTGCTACTGGTATTAATAAAGGAACCTTTATTTAATGGCAGCGTACCGCTGCTATTTGAGCCTTGATGGTATTGGTTCTGCTGTATTTGTTGCAGATTGTTGTTGAAAGCCTTTAAATATTGATCGCCGCTAGAAGTATTGCTAATAATGGCAGATGTTGTAGCATTAGTAGCGTCATTTGAACCCAATTGCTGCTGTTGATGATGACTCTGCTGGCTTATATTGGCAGTTTGTTTGCTACTTAGAGCTAAAGCGCTATTGTTATTGGTAATATTAGATGCGGAAAGGTTTGATGTTGCGGAAGAAGCAGCCGATGAAGATGTTGCTATTATTCAAAATTCAAAAATTAAATTACCAATTTTTATTGCCACTTTTGGCTGGAAATTTTTTTTTTAAAAAATATTTTTTTTTACAATTTAAACTATTAAAATAGATTTTCTCACCTGGCAGTGGTGGGAACGCATCTGCTTCCAAGTCGAACTGTGGAGGTTGCACTGGTTGAACATTTTGATTTTGCTGATTGTGATGTCCGCCACCCCGTTCGCTAGAGCTATTAATGTTATTGCCTCCGCCACCACCACCACCACCGCTATGATGGTGGTTGCTGTAATGATGACTGGAGGGAACATGATGAGACTGATGATGTTGAGAGGTAGAATGATGGGGATGATGTGAAGATGACGACGATCCATGCTGGGACTGATGATGCGATCCACTATTGTAATGTGGGTTGTAATTATTTCCTTTATAGCCACCGCGATGATCCTCGCGATGATGCATATAACCTCCACCATGATGTCCTGTATCACCTCCACGGCTTGAGTGATGGCCACTATTGGACGATTGGGAAACATTGCTTGATGGACCCGAGGAAGATTGTTGGTGACCATGATGCGAATTACCATAGGATTGCTGCTGGGAATTAGAGGATTGCATAATTATTTTGGCTTTTTGGGAATTTATATTTGTAGTTGTTGTAATTGTAATTGTTGTGGTAGTAGTTGCTATATTAATACAATTCAAATTTGAATTGTTTATATCGTTAGTAATCTCATTATGACAATTATTAGTGGACTTAATAGTATTTGTATTAGTAGTATTAGTAGAACTTATTAATTTATTATTATTATTATTGATGTTAAGGAAGTTACTGGACATATTTTGGGCATGATTTAAATTTGAAGATTGAGATTGATTTTGGCTTGGATTAAGTTTATACAAATTAGAAATTGGGGTGCCGCTGGTGCCGACGGCAGTGATGACGGTGGTGGTGGGGTTGCTAGTAACTGAATGCACTTCTCCAGTACCGCTGCCGCCTCCTCCTCCGTTCACGATGCCAACGCATCCAATGCTGCTCCCTCCCCCTACACTACCCAGTCCAGCCATACCTCCTCCACCACCCCCAGTATGGACAAATGTGCTATTAGTTGTATAAAACGATGAAATACTGACCCCGCCGCCTCCAACATTACTCATACGGTTATTAGGTGAGTAATTCATGCCACTGCCATCATCATCACGTCGTCGTCGTCGATGTCTAGGCTGAGACCAATGTGGTGGATCCTTGCCTCCTCCACCACCACCAACAGAAGTTGCCAATGAAGATGATGAACTAGACATATTTCGACTGTGTTGTGGTGCATGCAAAGATTGCTGTTGCCCTTCATTGCCACCAATTAAGGCATCATCTTGTAATTCTGCACCATGTGAATGTTGTGATTGTTGTTGGTGGTGGGATTGTAAATGTTGTGCTGACACTGTTGGTGTTGCATGTACATAGGAAGCATGTTGAATAGAACCTGTGGGCACAGCATTTGAGGAAGGCATTTGATAGTGAGTTTGTTGCATAAGCGCCGAATTATTATTTGCTTGTTGCTGAAGCTGTTGTGCTTGATTTTGCACATGATGTGCAGTAGCAACTGATTGCGGTTGTGTGTTATAAAGGTGATGGGTAGATATGCCACTATTTACATATGTTTTTTCCATGGACGATTTTGGTATACCACCTAATAATAGTTTTTTTCATTAATAAATATTTCATCATCTTTCATTGTGATTAATTTTATGATTTACTAACCTGTATTTGTTTTCATATTTGAAAAGTGTCGATTGGAACTGACGCCTTGTTGCTGATGCTGTTGATGGGTTTGACTTACAGCAACTTGTTGGGGTTGATTCTGTGATTGCATTTGATGCTGTTGAGTTTGGTGTTGAGAATGCTGATCTACTAGTGCAGCAGGCACAACACTGACTATACCTCCGGCTACATTATTTGACACAATAATATTTCCGCCAGCTAGTTGTTGAGGTTGTTGATGTTGCATTTGTTGTGAAGAGTTTCGTGGCTTATTTCTATGACCAGTTGAGTTATTTCCATTATTAGAATTGTTCCGATGATTATTATATCGCCCACCGCCGCCTTGAGACTTCGAAGAGCCCATCGGTGCACCAGGCTGTGGTGCTGATGTAGCATAAGCAGGTAAACCTTGCGCCGTTAAGCCATTGGCTGTAAAGACATTTCCAATTTCATAGAAGTTTTGACCATGACCCGTGCTAGCGGCTGCCGCTACAGCAGCAGCCGTCGGTTGCCAAGGTGCAGCAACAAATCCTGGATATAATTGTTGTTGTTGGAATGGCTGTAATAATTAATAAAAATATTTATAAAGACATTAAGACAATTGCATATAAATAACAAATCTATCATATAATTTAATAATGAGTTTTTACTTACGATTAAATGTACTTGTCCATTATATGGTACAGGTGCTTGCGCCATTGCACCGTTGGCAGCATAAACTATACGTTGAGGTCCACTGTATGTAACTGCAGCAGCAGCTGCAGCATTAGGATCATAGACAGCCGCTGGTGGAGAAGTTAGCCTGTAATTATTACTCTTAGGGTTCACATTCGACATTGGTAGACGGTGTACATAAGGCTTGGCTTTCATACGAGCCATTACTGGTCTTCCCTGTAATACAATAACAAATTATATAATTAATTTGTTTATATAAAGAATATATATATTTAGATTATATATTTATATTTATAACAAAAACTAAGACATTATTGTTTATATGACATATATTATTGAGTTTTGAAAGCATACCTGAAATTCTTTAACGTCTTCACGTAAAAACTGGAACGCTTTATGAGCGTCCTCATCAGACTCAAAAGTAATATACCACGAATCATTACCCGCAAACTCACAAGATATCACACGGGGGCAATTATCGTGAACAAATATTTTCTACAAATTGTAAATTTTATTTCTTAGTAAATATTATAAGTTTGAAACTCTTTTCACTTCTTACCTTCACTTCCTCTACTGGGGTTTTTTCATCAACTTCTCTTAAGATAACAATGCAACGCTTACAATTTGGCCGAACATGTTTACCGTCTTCATGTACCTGCACATTTGGGGATTCTCGCAACACTTCCGTTATCAAATTAATGTCCTTAGTCAATTTCTTTACAAGATTAAAATTAGCAACAGTCCATATGGGTACATATTGATCACTATCCATTTGTGAAAGCAGATAAGTATCATTTGCCAGATTTTCTCTAATGGATTATAGATATAAAATTAAGTTATATATAAATAATAACAATGAGATTTAAATTAAGTTAAGTACCTTGAAAAGTAATATTCTAATTGGGTAGCCAAACTCTGTTTCAATTGCTCCAAGGACATGACATTACTTTCAGCGCCGATTCCACCTATATTATTGCTATTGCCACTATTGGAGATTTGATGATGTTGATGCTGTTGGTGTTGTTGCTGTTGCACTTGATGGTGTTGATGTTGCTGCTGCTGTATAACACCATTGGGTACAACAACATGATGTTGTACGTGTGGGTTGTGTGTAGCTGCTGATGCAGCTGCTCCTGACAACTGTTCAACAGTGACCAAATTTGTACCAGCACCGGATAAATCATCTTGACTATAGCAGACAGTGCCATTCATAACGGCATATTCGGTGTTATCAATCGTTGTGGTCGTCACAGCGGCAGCACCACCAGTTGCAACTTGCGGTTGATGTGCATATTGCAAATGTTGCTGATGTTGTTGCACTTGCGGCTGAACTGTTTGCATTGTAGGTTGTTGCGTATGGGCGGCGGTGTGACTATGAGCATGTGTATGTTGTAACAGTTGTTGGTGTTGAGTTGGTTGTGGAGCTGCCACTTGTAATGCTTGTGGATGGGGCGGCTGAGTTGCGGTGGTTGCTATAATAGGAATGTGTGTTGCTGCCGAAGCTGCCAATTGTGTAGTCGAAGCATACAAATTTGGAGCCAACATTGCCGGATCTACATTTGTATAAACTGTAGTGGCGACAGGTGGTTGTAGCTTAACAGTATCTCCATTCATATAAACATAACCGCCTATTATGATAATAAATAGTTA